CTGCATTAAATATTGTCCTGTAGCTGGCATTAAATAAGGACTCTGAGTATTTATGGCATGAAAGAGTGCATTAACAATTGCAAGCTGATATTATTTGTTGAATAATTAGTCAGTGTACAAAATAACTTGATACATAAGTACCTGATCGTCACATTAAAACTATCAATTTGAATGAAGTTTGACGGCAAATGCTCCCTGCATTCTTCTCATAACCAGGACAGATGAGATTAAAAAACTCAGCTGTTTTGTTTTTACTTACTTTTTAATGTTTTTTGTATAATTATGTGTGTGCAATTTCTTACATTATACATTAAATAACTCTTAATTCACAAATTTGACTAGTAAATGAATCTCAAAGCTAAAATGAAGCTCAAATATCTTGTAAATCCAAGTGTATAAGCTATTTGAATTTGAAATTTGGAAATTACAAAAAGTCCAAAGACCTTCAAGTAGGAGGGTGTGTTTAGTCAAATAGGAAACAAATAGAAGCTTATCAGTTTGTTTGAACAGCATACTGTCAGTGTTTGTATAGTTGGCAGACATAAATGCTTACATGGAGGTTTAAAAGTGAGCGCTTTTATTAGGCTGATGGAACTGGTACAAAACAAAGGCAAAAGTCCAAAACATAAACCCGAACTAAAAAAAAAATCTAAACTGGAAATAACAGAAAACCGAAACATGAAGAGGGCCGTCATGAGACAGGAACTAGACAGATCGCTAATGGGAACATAACAGATTCTCTGACAGGGCACATAGGCAGACAGGAATAGTATGAACACAAGAGGGTGAGTATGGAAGTGGAAACAGATGTGAACACAGCAGAGACAAATCAGGGGTAACATGACAGGGGAAGTACATCTTTGGGCAACACACACTAAACAAGAAACTATCACAATAAAACAGCAAACACAACTAATACGAGGACCAGGAAGTTGCAAACATGGAATCACAAATAGATGAAAACTAGACAGAACAAAAACAAAAGGGAAACCTGATAACTAGGGAAGGAATACATAGAAGACTCAGAATATAGACCTAAACCCCAAAACTGAACTAGATGATAAACAAAACCTTAGAATATCAATATACAAAAAACCCAGGAAATACTGAGAGTGAACAAAACTCAACACAGGGATTCTGACACATACAAATATATTAACTCAAACAACAATGAGAGATCAAAAAAACATTTTGTATTTTAATTAAAATGGCATAAAGGTCAAGATTTAGAAAATCAGCATAAGCACAACAGGAAGACAGCCAGGTCAGTTTCATGTAGACATCCAAAGTCTCAGGAAACAAGATTTAAAAAACATAAAGACTAAAACTTAGAATATTTCCTTATTTATTTATCTATCTATTTTTAAAAAAAAAGTATTTTAGTTAGCTTTCAGTGTTCATTAGATCCTGTAGCCGTTCTCCTTGCTGTCGTCGCCTTTCTCCTCGCTGCTGCTGTTGCCTTCCCCCTTGCTGCCGTTGCCTTCCTCCTCGCCGCTGTCGCCTTTCTCTTTGCTGCCATTGCTGTCGTCATCGCCTTTCTCCTGCCTGCTGCAGCTGCTGGCTTCCCTTTCTTTCACAAAAATCAATAACCACTCACTCAAAACAATTCAGTTGACTGTATATGAGCATCCTCAAAATTTCAAATCTGGAAAAGGGGAGAATTTAACATTTGGTATCAATATCATGCCAGACTGACCCAAACAAATCAGCAGCTTACCTTTGCAGATGTAAGGTATTTTTTCATGACAGCTGGCATCCAGCCACTTAATTTCTTTTGTCTCATTAACGAAGACGATCTTTCCACAGTGGTTGTTGAAGCCGTTGACTGAATCAGTGCTGTTCAACTGAGCATTTAGTAGTTTTGACCCTGAAATCCACTTCCATTCATCCTTGTTGCCAAAGATTGGTCGTTCCAAGCCAATCCACACACCATCCTGCAAGATTTTATTTTGCAAGAGATTTTTCACTTCAACCCTCACAGTCTTGTTGCATATTTCAACCAGCGAGGAATTATTTCTCTGACAGTGCGCCAAGGCCTCAATCCAACTTTTAGCTTCCTCGTGGAACTCCAGATGTATACCTTGACACAAAAAGAACAATTACAACATACAAGTTACATTTTTACTTTAATACTGGAAAATATTGTACACTTGATGCAAATTAATCCTTGTGTCTGTGATTAAAATTATAGCTCTGGTGTCCAAATCCCTCCCGGAACAATCAGCTTTTTGGTCAGGGGTGAGTTAAGTTCTGCTTTTGTAACAACAGCAGGACATTGTGCTTTCACTGTGTTGAATTAAACGTACCCAAGGCATCAGCGAAGAGCAGCTGGATTATTACTGTAACAGAGCAAGATCACAACAAGAGTTGGATGATTTTGTCCACAAATAATTATTTATTTAGAAAATATATCAAAATGAGTAAAGGAAAAAGCGAGTAATTGCAAAAATGTAGAGATAAATACGCTAGCACTTTTTTAAAAATGATAATTCATTTAAATTTCAAGGAATACATAATAATGTAGGGGCTTCTTAATCAAAATTTAGATAAAGTCTCTTATTAGTACTTTGTGTTTTGTTTTTTGTTTCTTTGTCTGCCACCTTGTCACAACAGGCAGCTCTCGCAGATAATTTCATTTTAATATGAAATTTCCTGTTGTCAACATGAAAAAAATAAAAATACATCATAAATAAGTACGTCAAAAAGATGTCTGGAAAAACATAGCTTAAAAATAAATGTTAAAAAAAATAAAGTTTTAAGGCCAGTTTAATTGTTGAACTGAACTTTCTCACATTTTGTCACATTACAGCCACAAACATGAATCAATTTTATTGGAATTCCATGTGAAAGATCTTGTCACAACAGGAAGCTCTGGATATTTTGGTATCTTCCTTGCTGACACAACCCACAAAGAGAATATTTGTTTTGGAACTGGACAAGTAACCTCTTATTAAGCTAAGCAGATTTGAAAACCAATATACAATGGAGCCACAAAATTCATAAGTCAGTGGCTGGTTAATAGTGATGTGCGGTTCAATACTGAAATATCAATTCCTCTGATACCAGTCATTTATGTTCTAGAATTGATTCTCACATTAAAATATCGATATTTTAGTAATTTAGAGTAAACTTGTAGTTTATCATTAACAGGATCACAGTGGGAAGATCCTATTTCATTCGGATTGTCTACATTGGAAGCAACTACTTCCTCTTCCGCTTTTCATAGTCATGTGCGAAATACGGCTGTATAAATGTGTCGCAGTCCCTTGGCGTGCGCAGTCACAACAATGGCTGAGCGTAACTGGAGTTATGTTCGGACGTATTTTACATCCACAAACGTGGTTTGTGATACATGTGGCAAGAAAGTGAGGTGTTGTGGCAACACCACAAATTTGTCAAACACCTCAGAGTAAATCATATCACAGAATATGATGAGCGTATGTTGAGGCGAACTGAGGAGGAGGAGGAGTGGACAGGGACAGGTGCTGCTAGGGCGAGACAGACGTCTCTCATGGAGTCCTTTAGTGCTGCAGGCAGGCAAGGTGTTCAAATAGCGCACAACGTCAGGTTTTTTTTATTTCTATATGATGAATTCTGTATTATTAAGTGATAAGAACAAGTAATCTGATGTCCTGTAATCATAATGATGCTATAATTTGAGATACAATAAATAAAATACGTTTTTGCACAAAGTATCGTGCAAAAAGGATCAGTATCGTTGATACCACCCTGAATTTTATTTGGTATCGGATCGGAAAGGAAATCAGTGGTATCGCACATCACTACTGGTTAAAGTTACTTGATATTTGTTGTCTTTTTATGTTCGTAATGTACAGTAAGTATGTCAAACAAGTCAATCAGTTCCATATTTTTGTGTCAGGCAGGTGATTAAAAGCTGTCTGACATTTTTTTTTAGACATTTAAATAAAGGTGTAGACTCTGTCTTAAATTTCTATTCTTTTTAATGGCCACCAGGGGGGCAATACCTAGGGCTTGTAAAAAGAATTTTGTTACTATAGAAAGAAAAACAGTTTCCAAATGTGACCTCTCTAAACACTTTCCTGCTGTATTTAGTCATTATTTTCAGGGTGAGATTGGGAGAAAAATGATTAAGTAATGGTCAGAAATGGAGGATTGTTTCAAGTAACACACTTTTCTACCACTGTGGATGTCTAATTTGGTTGTTCTGTTTTCGGAAAAATAAGTGGTGAATTTACTGTTGGTGTCACTTGTGTTTTGCCAGACAGCCTCGTACAGCTTTTTTTTTTTTTCTTCTTACCTTTTTCTCCTCCATTTTACCAGTAGTGGCTGTCTTAATCCAGATCAATAATGCTGGTAATAATCACACTGTAAAAAGAATAACCCTATTCAAATTAAAAAAAAAATGTCCAGTTGTCACATCCAAAATATTTGGCTTTATAGAATCCAAATTGAGTCACTTGATATGACCTGATACTTTTATGTTGATATAAACAATATTACTAGACTTGACTGAAACTTTAAATTCTGCATTGATCCAAATTGATTTTTTTTACATAGAACCATATTTTAATTATTGAACCAAGCTAATATATTGAAATTTAACCAACCTAATGTATTCACATCGAACCAAATTAACATGAACTAATATGTTTGTGTTGAAGCCAGGTAATTGATTTACATATATTCAAACTATATTTTTTACATTTCATTTTATTTCAGTTCAAAAATGCTCTGCATTTCCTATAAAAAACAAGACAGTTGGCCAATCAATTATTTCAAAATTATATATTGTTCCAAACCATTTTAACTATAATCAATAAGAGGATTAGTAATATACAGATTTAGTGCTACGGCAGAAATGATTAAGAAATGTTTGTTTTATAAAACCTGCAATCTTTTGAAAACCAGTATAAAACCTGCAACCTGTCTAAAACTGGCATAAAACCATTATAAAAACTCTTTTTAAACCAATTTGCAAGTACTCAAAAATGTGCACTGTGCCTGTACAATGTAAAAAAAAAAAAAAATCTACACATGTATCAATGAAATCAACTTAAATCTCCCTTTCAAATGGGTGTTCTTATAAATTTTGAATGTAGAATACCACTGCAGGCCAACCAAGCAAAATAACCAAGCACACATGCACATGCATGTGCACATACACATGCACACATGCATGCAAACACACTACTGTGCAGTGTTAAGTTCACAATTAAGTTTGCGAATCTTAGAGGTCATCTTGTTAAAGTCAAGCTCCATCATAATCTTTTGAAGAGCCTCAAAGGTGAACCTGAATCCTCGTGGATATTCCATATTAAGAGCATAACAGAGTCCAAAGACCATTGCCACTCCAGCTGCCACAGAAGGCAACTCATTCAGGACTTCCACACCATCAATGATTATCCCGATGTCTCGAGGCTGATGTAGGAGGCTTGAGTTGTCCCTGAAGACGAAGAGTGCCATGGTGGTACTCTGCAGCTCTTCCTCAGCTTCATCTTTCTGGGATATCTTGAGGTAAAATATGGAACAAAATGTACAAGTGAAGAACTGAAGTCTGGCACACCTGATAAATCTTTGACCATAATAAACTACTATTTTGATAGTTGTTTGGTCACAGACTATTAGAACAATTATTTGACTAATCAGATTTGTGAATTGCATAATCATTAAATTAAATCAATGGTGGAACATTTTATAAATGTCACAAAGCCAAAAAAAAAAGAAAAATACAGAATAAATTAATGATGAGTGATAATCGTTGTCCTACATAATCACTGATTTAATAGCAGAGTCAAATTACATCAAGAGATGATTCATTAGAACAGAAAATAGAAACATGTATTTATAAAAACAAAAAGAATAATAGGAGAGTCTAGATTATTATGAAATGTTTAAAAAGGATGTGCAGTGTAAATGCAAAATGATACCTGTTCAGATTAAATGAAAATGTATGCTTCAGCCATGGAATGGATGGAGCGATCTGTGGTTCTGAAAGCATACAGAAAAAAAAGAATAATGTTACTTCTCTATAAAACACATTACATAGAAAAACCAAGAAATACGTAACATGACATACCAAACAGTCTACAGACCAGCCATTAGCGACTAAGTTTGGCATAGGGTCAATTTTTTGCTGTTAAAATTACAATTTCTTCAGAAAATGCACATTTTTCCGAGCCGCGCCTGAAAGTCAATTGAAGGAATTAGTCTTATGTCATTGATCTTATATGCTGGCGTGTTATTTCTGTCTCTAAATCATGCACATTAATAATTATCTTTTGCGCTCGGTGTACACACACATAACACACAGATATTTATATGAAGAGAGACAAACGTGCGCGCACAAACACAAGCTTGTGTCTAGAAACCGCGAGCTCACCAGAAAAATTCAAACGAAGCGGAGCACGGAGTTATACTATGAATGTTATGAACTATGAACTTATGCTAGCTAGCTGTATCCACCACCGATGCATCGTGGTAACGCTAGCTAGTTAGTATACTGGTAAAAAACGGCTTTTTGCCTAACTTGCATTCCCGACTGTGATGGTCGGTTTCTGGTAACCAGTTCTAACGTTGCGCAGGATAGCTAGCTAGCTTATAACTAGCAGCTACAATCATGCAAAAATTAGGGGTGGCTGTCGACCCAGCTTAAATGGGGTTATTTTCTGCAATTTTGGCAATACAAATTATAAAAGCTTTTGTAACACACTTGGCTTTACTTACGTTTATTTTCAGATGAAATTAATCAAAGATGTGACACGATGTTTCCAGCAGCCATGCAGAATAAAAATGGGTCCCGGTCTATTTCTGGTGGGCGTGTTCAAGTGCAAATCACTTTGACTCAAATTAAAGATATTATCTGTTCAACATGAAAAGAAATATATGTTTTGAGAGAAATCAAAAACTTTGCGTTGTGTCCTTTGTACAGATATTTAGTTTCATCCAAATCAAAAGTGGTATTTTAAAATGCAAAAAGAAAGGGTTTCACAATCAAATCAATGATTTTATTCTGTTTTGAATGGCACTTATTAGATTGAATGAATGACTGCATGTTAGACTTTTTTCAGTGCAGTCTGAATTGCATAAACTCATATTTCAGCAGTTTGACTTGGTTTTGTGTCACTTTCAGTTGCTACTCGGTCCCAGGCTCGGCAGACGTGTATGTTTCAGGCCCCAGGTTCTGTTCAAGGACCAGTCTCAGCTACAGAATCCTTTTCAGCTAACCCAGAAACCATACATCCCGAGCCCCCACCATCATCAGTCCTCAAAAACTCTGGTTGGTTGTGATTTACTTATTCATTTAAAACAGAAAACAAAAAGATTTTTTTAAAAATGCATAATGCATTTTAAAAAATCATAACAGTGCCACATCTGTTTCATTTAACAACATGTTGTTGTTGGTGACCATGCCATATTCATTTGGTTATCTGCAGGGTACAAAGTCATATCATGTACCTGTTAAAATGTATTTGAATAAGTTTCTGAGTACTTTAAATGTATGAAGAAATATTTTGGTCTTTTCCTTCTGTTAAATCTGAATTATATTTGTTTTTTGTCATCTAGTAATTCTGAATCAGCAGCGTAAAAAGAATGATACACAACCAGCGACTTTGCAGCCTTTTGTTCCTGAGGCCATAAAGCAAAATGATGAACCTGAGAAAATGCCTACTCCATCCACAGTTAGAGGTATGTAACCCATTTTATTGGTATTAGGTGTTAACATCTCATTTATTTATTTCTGTATGTGTGTGTGTGTGTGTGTGTGTGCGTATATTAAGTGTGTATATTGTTTGTTTGTTTTTTCACATTTTAGGCAGGAGGAAATCTGTGGCTCCCATGGAGTTGAACAAAGGCAATAAAAGGCTCTCTTGTGTTATAAAGCCCCCAGATATGCAAACCAAGAGGGGAAAGGTGAAAGATTTCTTCAACCATTATTCTTTTTTTTATTTTATTTTATAATGTAAATTGTTTTAAACATGAGAAAAACTACTCCTCATTTTGTTACAGTACCTTTTGTTTGCTTGTCTTTATAGTTTCTGGAAGGTTCCCGGGCCAACCAGAAGTTCTTTGAGATGATTCAGGATTTCAGAGCGACTTTGGAAATCACACCCTTATCAACTACTGAAACGGTAGGTTTGAACATGGACTTACAATGTTCCATCCAGAAAGTTTTATTGTAACTTTGCAAACTGTAGCACAGTCATTTCTCTGCACATCTCTTGCCTTTTTTTAAGATTGAGCCCCAAAGGATTTGTGTGTGCGTTCGCAAGCGGCCCTTTAACAAGCAGGGTAGGTCAGGAATAATTTGTAGATTCTCTATTCTATCATCTGAATATAAAGGAGTAATTAAGGGAGAGAAAACAGTTGCCATGTTTATACACTAACTCCGATACTCTTGTGTATTGTAGAGATTAATAAAAAGGAGATTGATGTTTTTTTTGGGGGGGGGGGTTGAAGCACAATTTTGCAAATGTGGAATTTATTCAAAGTCTTTATTTGTTTTTAAGACAATGGGAGGTGATTTCACAGGGAAGCAGCAGAACAGTGCTAAAGGCATCTACGCATTAGCAGGTAGGACCTTAAATGAAACAACTGGATTTTGTACAAAAAAACAGACTTTGTCATAATTTGAGTCTATTCACTTCTAGCCCAGGATGTTTTTGCCTACCTCCACCACAGGAGGTATGCTAATTTGGATCTCTCTGCCTACGTCAGCTTCTTTGAGATTTACAACGGCAAGGTAGGAAGACGTGAAGGGAACACCCTTCACTCAGAAGATATCTATTGAATCCACGTGTTCAATTAATCCATATAGCAAACTAGACATTTATTTTTATTTAGGTGTATGACCTGTTGCATAAGAAGGCCAAGCTGCGTGCTCCACCTACTGTGGAGTTTGGCATCGAGAGAGCACACTGGGCGTTGGCATCAAGACCCGCCGGAGACAGGCAAGATAAAACGCGATCAATAATAGTCAAATTTCTCCGCTATAGGGTTAAAGAAGAGATCCTACGTAGAGCTTGGGAAAAGAAGAAAGTTTTTCTGAATGGGAAATTAATATTCTTTGACCATGATTACCCTCCAGTAGTACTGCAGAAGAGAAAGGAGTACGTAGAGGCGAAGCGGGTGTTAAAGCAGAAAAATATCCGCTTCCATACTCCGTTCCCGGCAAAACTACGAGTGTTTTATGAGGATGGAACATGTCTGTATCAGACGGCGGAGGAGGCGACTACAGACATGAAGGACAGAGGGCTTCCAGTTAATGTGACTACATCGAAGGAGAGTCTGGTCGAGCAGCTGTCCCGTACCGCCTAGGAAACAATGAGAGGATCAACTCAGCGAGGGACAGACGACGAGCGAGAGAAAGATATCAGGGCGAGACTGCGAACCTTCAGAAGACAGATCATACCCTCGTCAGAGGAGTTATAAGTACTGTCGGGCTTTAAAATGAGGTAAAAATACGCGGTGTTATATATATTTCAAGATGTTTGTGTGTATATCCCTACCCCAATTGGATGAGATTATATAGATATAAGCGAGGGATGCATAAGGACACACTTTCTGTGTAATGAACAACGACTTTGTTTTCTTCCGCCTCAAGTGCCATGGTGGGGGCCCTCAGCCCATATATGGGAGAGGCTTTCCCTCACAGCTAGACGTTTTTTCTAGCTCTACCCAGGGTCACTTATTAGAGACCCCAGCCTTGGAATCACAGTCTATTTTTTTTGTACTTGTTACTTATGTTTGATATCTTTGTTTGTTTAGGGAGTAGATCTGATAAGTTTCATTTTATTTGTTCTATGGACATACTTTGATTACATATGGCTAGTGAGAAAGTAAAATTTCTATCTTTCAATATTAATGGGCTGTTAAATCCAATTAAACGTACTAAAATCCTATCTAAAGTGAAAGCAGAACAAGCCCATATAGTCTACTTACAGGAGACCCACTTGACAGATAAGGAGCACGTAAAATTAAAGAGAATGGGTTTTACTAATTTGTTTTTTTCTTCATACAAATCAGGATAGGAGAGGAGTTGCAATCCTTATTTCAAGCAAATTAAACTTTGAAAAAGTATCTGAAATGGGTGATAAAGAGGGCAGATTTATTCTAGTAAAAGGAAAAATAGATGGGAATTTGATCACCCTTTTAAATGTTTATGCCCCGCCAGAGAGTGATATTAGTTTCTTCCAAAGGATTATTAATATTATGGTAACAGAAACAGAAGGCCTTTTGATCTGTGGAGGGGATTTAAATATACACCTACAGCCAAAATTAGACTCGTCTAGCAGGAAAACGTATGATAGGAAATCCCCATATATCAAAGTGAATGCACTTTTTGAGGAGGTAGGATTAATTGACATATGGCGAGACCTTTTTCCTAATAGAAGGGACTATACTTACTACTCTGCTCCACACTCTCTTTATACAAGGATAGATTATTTCATAACATTTAGTAAAGATAAGGATAAAATACATACTTGTGGAATTGGGACGATAGATATAAGTGACCATGCACCAATATACTTATCCATTGATTTTAACCTACGGTTAAAAAATAATACATGGAAATTGAACTCAAGTCTGTTGAATGATTCGCCTTTTAAGGCACAAATTAAATCAGAAATTAGTCTCTTCTTAGAGTTCAACGATACCGGAGAAGTACCACCTCCCATACTATGGGATACTTTGAAGGCGGTACTAAGAGGGAAAATTATAGCAATAACTTCATTTAGGAAAAAAGATAAGAATAGAAAACTAGAGGAGTTGAATAAGAGACTAAAGGAACTAGAAAGAAGACATAAAAGGGACTCAGCACAGGATATATTAAGGGAAATCAAAAACATTAGGAATGAAATTAACAATCTAGCCACACAAGAAATCAAGAAAGATTTAATGTTTTTGAAACAGAGACACTATGAAAGTGGCATTAAATCTACCAAAATATTGGCGTGGAAATTGGAAAAAAAAGACAGCGGAAAATACAATTTATAAAATTAGGGACCTAAGTACAAAAGTGATAAAAAATAAATTAAATGAAATACAGGAAGCCTTTGAAAGATTCTATAAAACCCTATACTCTGAAGCCCCTGGCGGGACTGAAGCTCAGATTGATAGCTTCCTGAACCCTCTAGACTTACCCACTTTAGATGAAGAACAAAATCAAACAATGATAATGAACATAACTGAAGAAGAATTAAAAGCTGCAATTAATAGGCTTAAATTAAGTAAATCACCAGGACCAGATGGTTACACGGCAGAGTGGTATAAAGAATTTAAAAAGGAACTGATACCTGTTTTATTGCCTACATTGAATTGGGTCTTGAAAAAGGCACAAATGCCCCCCAGCTGGAAGGAGGCAATTATCTCAGTTATACCAAAAGAAGGCAAAGATAAAATGGAATGTGGATCTTTCAGGCCAATCTCCGTTCTTAATGTGGACTATAAACTTTTCACATCTATCATGGCCAAACGGCTAGAAGAGTTCCTACCAACATTGATATGTAATGACCAAACTGGTTTCATACATCAACGCCAAACACAGGACAATATACGAAAGACACTACATATTATGGACCATATACAAAAACATAAAATCAAAGCAATTGTGATGAGTGTAGACGCTGAAAAAGCCTTTGATTCCGTCAACTGGAAGTTCCTTTACAGGGTATTATATAAATTTGGCTTTCATGATACGATTATTAAAACTATACAAGCACTATACAATAATCCTACAGCCAGGATTAAAATTAATGGATGCCTATCTAACAGTTTTACCCTAAAAAGGGGCACTAGACAGGGCTGTGCATGGTCACCGTTACTTTTCGCATTATACTTGGAACCACTAGCTCAATTCATTAGGCAAAACGAAGACATTAAGGGAATTTCTATCAAAGGGATGCAATATAAACTGGCTTGCTATGCGGATGACATTTTGGTCTAGCTTGGACACCCAACATATTCTTTACCCAAACTGATGCAATCATTTGAACAATATGGCCAATTATCAGGCTATAAAATTAATATAGGTAAAACCCAGCTACTCTCATATAATTATAGCCCACCAGAA